ACGACGACGGGTGACGTTGCCGCGACGACGGGAGACGTTGCCGCGACGACGGGAGACGTTGCCGCGACGACTGGCTCGTGATGGCATCTGGAGATTGCATGCAAGATTGCAGGGATCGATCGTCGGCTTGCCGCACGAAGATTTGTTCGCGATTCACCCGCTGCTCTCGGTTTTCACCCGAGCGCCACGATCCCATCACGCACTAGTAAACTGCTTCCATGGCGCGAGACGCGCAATAGACAATGCCGTCACATGACGATGCAATGTGTACGGAACGTAGACTTGTAGTAGAGTTGTGTCAAGCCATCCCGTACGATTGATACATTCGTAGAATGTGCAGTGTCTTGTAGTGGGATTAGCAAAGGTTTTTAGTGCAACTTGTTCAATGTTTAATAAAACAATTTCTTAGGAGCCCAAGAGTTCACTCGTGAAGTTTTTTTTGTCTGTCTGTGTGTGTGTGCGTGCGTGCGTGCGTGCGTGCGTGCGTGCGTGTTGAGGGGTGCATGGCTGCATGCGTGTGTAAAGCAAAATCTGCATGGTTTGTAATGTGCACATAAATTGAGCTTATCAGCATAGTGGATGGAATGTTACACCAAGTTATACAGCACTGTAATACATACTACGTAACATAGCTATAATATTACCAGGAGCGTATCTACAGGGGTAGAAATTAACTTTTGAACACGGGAATCCAACAGACTCCCTGCCCTCAAAAAGGGCAAAATGAGGGAGTCCACAGTCTGAGGTTCAAAATTAAAGATATTAACAATAACGCATGTGCTTGTTTTAAGATTCATGCAGTAGCACAAATTCGCCCAATTTTCTTTGCACATTAGCTGGAAAAATACGGTAATTTCGCGAGGCCGTGCTCTGGAACGAAATAGTTAGTATAGCAGAATTTTCAGGGAGTCACACGGACTCCTGCATATGTCAAATCAGGGAGTACGACAGTAAATCAGGGAGTATTTGACTCCGGACTCCCGTTAATTTAGCACCCTGTATCTATATAGCCTATTATGTTATACACTCCTGTTATTGCCAGAGGAATGAGAAAGACAGCACAGCAACGTCAATGCCTACACAATTTATTCATCACGACAATTGCATTTGTACACAGTGATTATTACAGTGATAACTTAAAACGCAACTTGTAGTTAACAAGCCAACTATGTACTACAATTTACAAATTAACAGTAACAAACAAATTATGGTAAAATGATGACTTGCAGCCGAAGGCATGGTTTGTGCATGTTTAACTGGTTTAAACTTGTTTAAAACTGGTTTAAAATGTGATTGTGATTATAACTAGTATGCGATTATTTACAGAAAATGTGGAGTAACATTATTTAGGATAGCACTCTATATACAGCAGGAAAAGAAATGTTCTAAGACATGTTAGCATTACTGTAGACAGTTGCTGTTACTCAAGCAGTAACGGTAAGTATCGCACCAATCAATCAATAATCATCAATCAATCAATCATCATCAATCAATGGGGAAAACACTAGACTAGTTTGAAATTAGTTTCAAAATAAATCCTTAGAGAATAGAGACTACTATAGTATACTATATAGTATACTA